CAATTTTAACCTCTAAAATATGTAAAATACCATTCAAATGAGTTTTTTTGTATTATTAATTTTTAATTATCATAATATTGGAAAGTTTTAGTGTTTTTCTTTTTTTTTTAAGGATAGTTTAGTCATTTTAGAGATAAAAATAAATTATTGACGTAGATGAAGTATAAATTTATATATTAAATCTAATTTGAAGACATATATTTAATGAGATTAGAAACTAAATGTATAAATTTTAAATAAACTTAAAATATAGGGTATAAAAATATAAATATCTCAAAAAAAATGATTGAGGCAAGTGAGGGGCTAGTGTACACGCGCAAGAGGGAAGCGTGGGGGAGGGGAGGGGATGTGGGGGCAGGTGGTAGTTCAAATGATTGTGAGGAGAGAGAGTGTCGGGGGAGGAGGGGCAAGAGAAAACGCACGATCGTGTGCGCCAACAGTTACGTGGGCCCCACATGTAACTGAGAAAGGGCGTGCGGGCCGTGTGATTCCACGTGTTCCCAGGCACCCACATGTTCCTCCACGTGACTTTAGCCCAACTCTCAGTTTTTCCTTTTTTTCTCTTCTCTTCCCACGCTTCTTCCTTTGTTTATTTTAATATTTTTCTTTTTATTTTCCAAGGGCCAAAGCCCCACACCCTCTTCGTCCACGTGAACTCCACTCTCCCCTGTCTCCTCTCACTTCACTCCTTTATCTAATCTCTTATGTATTTGGCTCGGCTGCCAAAGTCGCTTCCTGCTATGTGTTTTTGTTACAAAAAGAAAATGAGAATAGTTTTAATCTCTTAGTTTAAATTCATGAACCAAACAGGTTCGAACAAACATTATGTAGTTCCATCCATAGAATGAGGAGTTTCTCCCCCAAGCCTCTTTGTTCAGTCTTTCGATTTTTTACTGTAAGATCTGATTAAAATTAAATTAAATTTTAAAAAATTTATAATAAATAATTTATAATAAAAATTTAACGATTAAAAGTAAAAAATTATTGATAATTAATTTATTTATTATCGCTTAAAAAACACTCTCAATAAAATTGTTGTTAGAATCTTTCTACCACATGGTACTAAAGATATATAAAATTAACATAATTTAATACAAATTAAACGATATCACTATATATATGTGTATATATATATATATTATGTGGACATTATACCGTGATTACTATTCTTTACTGATCCACTAGTAATTACTTATTAGTGTATATATTAGCTAGTGAGGGGACATATGATTTGGTGAATAGGAAAATAATTGGAGCAAATTTTTGCTGAAGAATGTAGTAAATAAACATATTTACGAAAGTAAAATAAGTTTTAAAACTATTAGAATTAAATAATAGTTTATCGTGTAAATATTTTATACATAATTTTTTTAACAACTGCTAAAAAGATTTTTCAAGTAAAGAAATATTTTTTTACCACATAAATTATTTATTTATTAATTATAAATTATACATTTATACAATAAATTACTATTTATTTTAAATAGTTTTAAAATATGTTATATATTTTTTTATGGAATATGCTATAGCTTCAAAAATCTGTTACTACAATTTTCTATTTTTGCCAATTAATGCATTGTTTTTTTTTTGTTGATAAGATAATTAATGATTGTTGACTTAGAGTGACATGAGTCTCTCAGCGTCCAAATAATGTCATCATCAGTTCAAGTCTAGTGTCCAAAAGTCAATAATGCAGAGCTCAGAAGTGTTACGCATTTCACACTACGGTGAGATTATCTGGGTTTTTTTTTTTTTTTTCCCCTTGAGAACTATTTGGTCTCATTTATTGCAACGTTTTTTACCCTGCGCAGACTTTTTAGAAAAATTCTCTCATATATAATATATATATTTTTTAAAAAAGACTTGATGAGAGAAAATGGAAAGCCATATAAAATCCAAGCCGGCTAACAATTTGGGCTAAAACTCGGCTCAGCCATTATATCCTAGCTACGAATTTTGGCTCAGACGCCCTTTTTGAGAAGTAAGCAACACGCCCAACGTTAAACAGCCACTGAAAAGTGAAGTCCCTGCGCGTGTAGTACACGATATGATCTGCTCCTGATACTCTCGTCAGGGGAATAGAACGCACTCGTTTTAACGGAAGAAAGGTAAAGAAAGCGACCGTTTTTTGTCCGAGACCATCATCTCTCGTGGTACTCGCATGGAAAAAGATTTTTCAAAAAAAAAAAAAATTCATTAAAAATTAAAAAACTTTAGGAAATTAAAATTTTAGAAGAAAAATAAAGGAGTTGTGGGACCCATATCGTGACGCGGGAAAGGATGGAAGTTTATCTGTCCGGTTCCAATCATAGCCATCCAGTCTTTGATTTGATGTTTGTCCAGCTTCACCACTTTGCCTTTCGTTCCAATTATGAAAACAGGCACCACCAATTGGGCCCCACGTGTTGAATCCATTTCCAGCCGTTCGATCCTTGCGATGGATCTTACCCGGCGGAGATGCGCTCAGGTGAGTGTGGGACCCAGAACATGAATGCTCAAGATTCTGTTTGATATGGTGTAGTTAATGATATTCTGTTGCTCTGATATGAGGTCTGAGTGTGAGGAACTGGCATTGATTGATTTTTGGGGGTGGGTGGATATTTTAATGTTGCTTTTGATAAATATGATTGCTTGCCTACTTAGTACTTTTCTCCTATTATTAAGCATGGAGTTAGTTGTCTTCATTATTGCATGTCTGAAGATTTTTCTCATAATTAATAATATTTATTAGATTAAACATGATTGGCTTTTCCCTAAAAGAATTAAATGAGACCCTTTTCATTTAATTTATGAAAATAGTTGCTGAAAAATCTAGCCAGTTCCCCTACTTTTAGAAGAAATTAAGGTTGATGAGAAAGCAAATGCAAAAGATCTCCTTCTTCTTTCTACTTATTCTTCTTCCGCTTTTCCCCCTTTATACTAAGACATGTTTTTTTTTTTTGTTTCTTTTTTTTTTTTCCCTATATACATATAAACCTTTTTGTTAGTGCCGGATTAAACAAAAGAATACAAAACCAAACGGAAACTTCTTCAACAAAAAGTTTGAATATAAAGTTAAATTTTTGTGATACAAATACTATAAGAAAAAATTTTGAATTATGATCCAATAAACCAAATGGGTGATTTTTTTTTTCTAACCACACGCGTGACTATGAATAGAAACAATTTTGGCAAACATGAGAATTTACAAATAATCAAAAAAGGAGTGTCAATTATACACTAATAATTAGCATATGAAGTGCCACTCTTTTGTTTTTTGGTACAGTCAAAAAGACATCAGGTCATGAGGTGACCATTCCCATGATACCAGACCTGTCAAAAAAAAAAAAGCTCAGGAAAGTTACAAAATAGCTAAAAGGTAAAGATGTATAATTGTTGTAACTTTTTCATCTAATTACATTTTGTTCATAAAATGAACATTAGATTCCATGAAATAATAAATAAAGGAATCTGTACCATAGAGCATACTATTTTGTTTCACCAATGAGAATATGGTAAGTTCTAATTGTTAGATTAGTTTTTTAATAGTAAAATTTGTACAAATTTGTATTAAATTTTATGGTATGCGCACACAACACTGCTTATATTATAGATCTAAACGTTCAAAAAATTAATCAAATCGTAAATACACAATTTTTATTAGTAGAGTAAAAGAGCTTCTGCTCCATAAAAATTCCAAATCAAAAAATATAGTTCAACAAGAAAAAAGCACTTTCTCTGACTGTAGGCCAATTTCTGACTATTTGATCTGATTAAAATAATGTCAGATTAAAAAAATATGCAGAACATATAGTTTCTGATACAAATATGACGACTGAAAAATAATAATTTATTGGTCGTTTATTTTTTTTTCTGATTCTACTATAAAATCTCTTAAAAAAAAATAAAACAACTATATATCATAATTGAAAATACTGAATAATGGCATCTTAATTAGCACATGACATTACAACATTGAGAATATATACACTAAGGCATTACCTTGTAGATAGAAACATTGTGATTTTTTTTAAAAAAATTAATACTTATATTTTCATAACTTTCTATTTCTTGAATTATTGAAACAATTAATACTTATATTCACTGACAGAGTGGGTTGTTTTGTCCGATTAGAATTTTTTCTTAGCTGTGTAGATGTTTTATATATGAAGAGTTTGATCCCGATTGACTGGGTTATTCCATCGACTGTTTGTGGTTTCAAATAAGCTTTGATCATGCTTGCGTCTGTGCCGAACGGGCCCTTCCTCATTGAGTTTAAGTACCTTTTTTGACCCTAGTGCTATGGTATTTTTACTAGTAGATCCAACCAAAGGGGATTGAGACTATATATATTTTATGTAAGTCAATTCTTGTGAAATGAAATATTTTCCTTAAAAAAAACCATAAAATGATAAAAAATTCCTCTAAAAAAATAAACAATAATACAATACATAAAAAGTAATATTAAAGAGATTAATAATGTTGAGTGTGATTTTATCCGTTATTTTAATATTTACTCATTAATAAATATAATTATTTTAACCACAACATAGTGATTTAACAGTTATAATAAATTATATAATTAACAAAAAAATTAATGATATTATATTCTTATTACAAGCAAATTTTTATATTAACAAGATAACCACTATAAAAATAAATCATTAAAAACTCACCCAACAATATAAATATTAATTATTTGAATTATATTATGCCCCCAAATAAAATGTCATTATTTCATTTTTACCATGGTCAAAAGAAAATAAATTGAGAAAAGAAAATTAAGAGGAGAGAGAGAAAGTGAAGAAATGGAAATACAGGACAAGAGGAACAGAGAGTCAGGGAGAGGGAATTATTTTTGGGGGGGCAAGGACCATGATTGAGATAATTTGGCTTCCTGACACCTTGTCATCATTGAACTTCCCAAACCCACACCCCCCACCCCCCACCCATTTCCTTATCACCTTTCTATAAAACCCACCCCCCTCTAATCTCTACACCCAAAACACACCCATCTTTTTCTCTCTCTTTCTCTTTCTCTCTCTCTAACAAAATAATTAAAACCACTTTCTCAGTGTCCAAAGGCAAGCTCAGAGCAGCAAAGCAAAAGAAAATAGGAAGAGAAAAGAGCCTTGTGGTGTGGGTTTAAAATTTTCTTTTCTGGGTTTTCTTTGGTTGTTAAGAATGATGGTTGAAAAGGAAGATCTTGGTTTGAGCTTGAGCTTGAGTTTTCCTCAGATCAATCGCCATCATCATCATCATCAGAAGCTGAATCTAGTGCCTACTTCCTTTGTTCCTTCCTCTGCTACTTCTTCTTCTTCGCCTTCCACTTCTGGCTTCATCAGCAATCTCCAGAAACCCTACTGGAATGAGGCCTTCGCTTCTTCAGGTGTGTGTCCCGTTCGGATCTGTTGCACTTTCCCGAGACACAAACACCGCATAAAGCACGAAAAGTTCTCTTCTCCTTTTTATCCTCTTCTTTTTCACGTGAAATAAACAAGCACTTGTTTCTTTCTCAACTTTTGTTCCTTCCTTTTTGCATTTATTTTCTTTAACTTTCGGATCTAAAGCTTTTTAAAGCGATTTGAACTTTTGAAATCCAAATCGAACGATTTCTTGGCCTAAACTCTTTGATCTCTCGCGCTTGCAGATCGGAGCTCCGACATGTGCCGAGTCGAGACCAGATCGTTCCTTCGAGGAATCGACGTGAACCGGGTGCCGGCGTCGGCTGCGGACTGCGAGGACGAGGCCGGCGTGTCTTCGCCGAACAGTACGGTCTCAAGCGTGAGCGGGAAGAGGAGCGAGAGAGAAGCCATTAATGGCGATGAGATCGAGATCGAGAGAGCTAGCTCGCGAGGAATCAGCGACGAGGAAGATGGAGAGACTTCGAGAAAGAAGCTCAGGCTATCCAAGGACCAGTCGGCCATTTTGGAAGAGAGCTTCAAGGAGCACAACACGCTAAATCCGGTGAGTGATTAAATTTTTGCTTCGGAGAATATTTTCTCGAGAGCCAAACAGAGGTATTGGAGATTTATTTTGACGGAAAATGCTGTGTTTTTCGCAGAAACAAAAGCTTGCGTTGGCAAAGCAGCTCGGTCTCAGGCCTCGACAAGTGGAAGTGTGGTTTCAGAATAGAAGGGCAAGGTGAGTAATTTGCTCTGTATGATGCTTAAAGTACGGTTATACCCTTGCGGAATAGGGTTATTTACGAGGGTGTTCATTGTCGTGTTTGTTACTGTAGGACCAAGCTGAAGCAGACCGAGGTTGATTGCGAGTTCTTGAAGAGATGCTGCGAGAATCTGACAGAGGAGAATAGGCGGTTGCAGAAGGAAGTTCAGGAGCTGAGAACACTGAAACTCTCCCCACAGTTTTACATGCAGATGGCCCCACCAACCACCCTCACCATGTGCCCCTCATGTGAGCGTGTCGCGGTCCCTCCACCCTCCACCGAGGGCCGGGCCCAGGCCCATCATGTCCCGATGGGACCCGCCCACCCTCGTCCGATACCTATCGGTCCGTGGGCCGCCGCCGCTGCCCCGATCCCGCACCGGCAGTTTGAGGCCCTCCGGCCTCGGTCTTGAAATTAATGGGGCGAATGAGGGGCACTTTAGTCAATTTACCACATCCAAGCTCCTTAGCTTAGGAAAAATATCACAAGGAAAAGAAAAGTTGTGTGTAATAGGGCACCAATTGCATGTGTTAAAATTTCAGTGGGTCTAAGATATGGTTGTTGGAATATGATTTGGTGGGTCTCTTAAGTTTTGTATTATTTGACCCATCATTCTCTTTTGTTGGGGGTTTGTCTCCTATTTTTAGATTAGTTTTTTTTTTTTTTTCTTTTTCTTTTGATTACTAATACTAGTGCTAATATGATACTTTCTTCCTAACCTTGCAACAAAAAATGTACCTGTTGGAGGGTTATGGAAGAAGTAATTTGATTGTAAATTAGTACAATATTGTTCTAAGCAAACTTCTATCTTTAACATATATTATTAAAACTGACTTTGTCTTTCTGAATTCACTTAACATTAATATTCTAGATCGGTAATTATATTGCAGGCTACAATCAATCTTATGATTAAGCCATGGAATCTCGCTTTTTGACACCTTAATTGAATATTACTACATCACACACACACACACACACACACATATATATATGTGTGTGTGTGTGTGTGTCTATATATATATATATATATATTCAAAGTTGCGTGTGTGATAAAAATTTGTGTTAAAGTGTCTCGTGCGGTTTTAGTGGTGGGTTCAGATTTTGACAATTTGATTGTGGGTGGGATTAGCAGTTCTAAATTGAAAAATTACGAAAAGGGTGGACCCAAAGCTACGTTTTTAATTGCAGACAAGTTCCCCGGTTCTAGGGGATTATTTAGTAGTTCTTGACCAAAAAATTTATTCCCCAGTCATCGCTTAATGTTTTGTTTTCTAATCAAAGCTTTTCTAAATGATGGAAGTCAAAATTTAAAATCTTCCACTTGAATTAACAATAATATTTGTTGATGCTTTTTTTAAAAATCTTTTCCTCCTTGATCCTCGGAGAAAATTGGGTGAATCATCTTGATGTGGTTAAAGGTAATAGTTTGTCATCAATAGAGATATGCAACTACCGGAGTAGTTCATGTCATGGGTTGGGATGTAAACAAATGTTGTTGTTGGTCCTAAAACGAAATTGGCGCTCACCAAATAGGAAAGTAGCCAATAAATTGTACGCTTAGAGCACGTTGTGCTTAGCCATTTTCTGAAAAGCAAAGACCCCAGTATGACATTTTTACAATCGTATAATAATTCAAAACCAATTGCTTAAGTTCACACTATTACTTTTGATTAATCTAAAATCTTAAAAGTTATTATGTATTGATCACCACTAATTCTTGACCCGATCATTTATTTTCCCATATAAAACTATGCTAGATTATGCGTAACAACAATTCGTAAATCATGATTAGCAAAAAAACAATTCGTAAATCATAAGTTGATGCATAAATCTTTTGGCAATTAAAAAGTCAATAATGATGATTACAATTATGACGATCACGCATGACGATTATGACATGTTTACTTACCAGGATTGAAAAATGAGAGTCAATTACATGTTTACTTGCTCTTTTTTATCCTGAAATGAGAGTGAGATTGGTGGGTTCCACTCAAATTTGAGATTGATGAATGAGATTGGCATTCCTATGCTCCCCTTGGGATTGAGACTCTCATTCCTAATATTAATATCAATTTATTATTATACCCTTATTTTACTTATAAATACACAATTAAAAATAAAATTCAAAAAATAATAAATGCAACATATATTTATTATTTTATTTGTCTAATATTATAATATTAGCATAATTATTGTAAACTTTAATATAATAAATATGTACTTTATTTTTAATAAATTAATAATATATTTTATTTTTTAACACTATTTTTTATTTTTATTTATTTTATTTAAATTTTTTTAAAATTTATTTTTATATTTTAAATAGTTGTACAATTTATATTTATTATTTTAGTACCCAATTATTACACTAAATATTTTAATTATGATTAATTTTAATATAATAAGTACACAATATATTTTTTAAATTGAAAATATCAAATTGATTTAAAGGGTATATTAATAACTTTTACACTTTTTTATTCCGATTATGGGTGTAAGTAAACGTATGAATGAGATTTGGAATGACTCCGATTTCGAATCATATCACTAAGTAAACAGCATATTCTGACTCCGATTCCTCACTCCGAATCCTACCCACTCCGAATCCTGTCCACTCCGATTCATGCTCATTCCGATTACGCGTAGGTAAACATGCCATTAATGTCATTCAATTCCTTAAACTTACACTGGAAGTGTCATTTCTTTCCCTATTTTCTATTTTTTTAGATTGATGAAAAAATTATGGATGATCTACCGACTCTTATAATTAGTTGTTTTTTTTTGCCCGTTCTTATAATTAGTTTATAAAATACAGATATAGAGCCAGAAAAACTTTGACACTATTTTGGAACCTTTAGTTTGTATCTCCCATTGAAAAGGAATAATATTCCAGAAGATTTGGTTCTCCATTCTGGTCTTTGCCAGCATAAATCTCTTGGATCTCAACCATTAAAAAGTGGGTCCTATTCTTTTTATGAGTTACTGTTTTTGTATTGTACAATGTCTCAAAATATCTCTTGCATTGACTTAATTTTTGTTGTAAGTGTGCACTATTCTTACAAGGTCCTGATTGATAATTTGTTATTGTTTTATTCTACGTCAGTTTAGTTCGCTGATTCGAATTGAAATTTAATTTTATGTGAGAACTTTTTATTATTGTAAAAAAGTTAAATATAATTGTTTATGAAAATTTTTTACTGTAACAAAACTTGAATCGATAAAATAAACGAGATCTTAAAAACTTCAAACCATAAGAAAACCGTATTTGCACTGATGAGATGAGAGTACTGTGATTCTGCTTCTAATCCTAGACGTCCATTGTTGACGTGAAATACTATTTATATTGAAATTAGCTGATTATCTACTTTTCAATCAATTTGTCTCCGCAGAGTTTCTTCATTTGTTTGGCACGGCATTAGTGCTTTTAGTTTTACACGAGAAAAATTATGAAAATTTTAGGCAGTATACTTTAATAGGTTAAACTCATTTTTCCTGCCAAAATTACAGGACAAATTCCATTTTTGTCTTTGGCATTCAAACGACCCAGAATGAGTTTCCAGAAACGCATGAAAAACGTTGCACAGTACAACCATATTTGTAATGAAGCTCGAGAATTAATTATCTTTTCTCACCACAAAAGAAAGTTTCTTTTTCGTTCATTGATGCTTAAAAAAAAAAATTAATTACCAACACTAGTCAATATTATATTCAACAAGTTGTTGTAGCATCAGCATAAATATATATGTAGCTTTGTCTTAAAAACATATACATATATACATACATACATACATACATACATAGATACATAGATACACACACACACACACATATATAGCTTAAGCTCCTGTCACATTGGAAGTTGATTACTCAGGTTAGTGCTAATGAAAGCTCCTCATTGTCAAAGGAAAAGTCCTATCCTAGCCTTGCTTTGCGTAACATTTGCCACTCCAATGGATTTTAGCTATAAATATGCTGTCATCGGTTATAACGCTCTACTGAGATTTCTTTGCTTGGTTTTAATTATTAATTAGAAGCTTTTAATTATGTAACACTAAAACATAAGAAATGACAATACAAAATTTGAGATTTGCATGTCATAACTATCACTGTCTCTACCATCTATCAGACTATAGGTCCCACGAGTCCATACAAGAGCCTACACCAAGATATGGATTATGGATACGACTCTCGCCACTATCTAAAAAGTAAAAACCAATTTTATTTTTCATTTCTTATTTTCTTCTCGTAACCTAAAAACACAACTTTGAAGCAATGATTTTGCTTATTTTATCAATGTTTGTGTCTTTTTCTTGCCGGAATAAGTATTACAAGAACATTCTTAGAGAGAATATAAAGTTCCGTTCATTTCACCGATTCAAGTTTAGAATTTGAGTTTTGCTACAGTAAAAAGCTATTAGAAACAGTCACATCTAACTTTTTTACTACTATAAAAAGTTATAACATAAAATCACATCTTAATTCAAATTAAAAATTTAAATCAACAAACAAAATGAGCTTTAAAAACCTCACTTTAAGAACTTGTTTAAAATGTACACTCAAATTATAATTGGAGTTTATTAACAAAAATTTTATAAAAAAAAAATTTATAGAATTTAAACTCTTTATAAAATAAAAAATATTACAGCAGAATTATAATTTGAGTTTGAGTCTATCTACTCAACAAGCCCCAAGTGCTTTTGCAGCAGAGACAGGAACACAATCAAAAGTCCAATAGCTACTCAATGGTACTGATTGTATATTATTGATGTCTGAAAATGGAATTATTGTTACCTGAAAGTATCTATATTGCAGTTAGGATATATATATATATATATATATATATATTTATATATATATATATATATGTCCAACGCGTAGCTAGTAGCTACCAATTCTTCTGGGTTTGTCCGGATCTGATATGTTTAAATCTAAGGCCCAAAATGAGCTGCACATTCCTGTCAATGCACATGGGCCTTACAATACGTGAAGCTTCGCGGAACCGTAGCTACTCACTCTATGCTAATAAAGAATGTTTGTATTCAGCTATAATTATTTACATCGGCAGTTGAAGCACGTAATTTGAATTCATCTAGAGATGTTTATTTTTTGTATTCATTTATGATTTTGAATCATAATTCATAATTTTTTACAATATTTTTTTCTCACAAAATAATACATGTAAAACGAAAATAATTCCGAATCATGATTCTGAATCTCTGAAGTAAACGTTCATTAATATTAAACCGATAATCTAGAAATAGTCTCAAGAAGCGCTTGTATGAGATTAGAACCGGAGACATCTTATCCACCGGTAAATTTTGTTGTTGTTGTTGTTACATTCTCTAAAACTATCATTGCATAAAACATATGCCATGTTACACAACGTCTACATGTTACATGTTAGTTGTTACATCCCACGTCTTCGCATTGATCCTCGTCCTACTTTTGATATCTATAAAAAAGGAAAACTTATTTTGTATATAAAATGAGGACCGTTAATACCATCTCGTCTCTCATCCACTTTGACATACATTTTGAAAATTCCGGAGCTCATCAATTGAATGGAAAAGACCTAACAAGAGTCTCAAAGTGAGGTTGCGGAGTATCGAACCTTAAACTCGTCGATCCTTACCACAACACCGTCCAATTGATGGCAACTTATGTTGTATAAAGTATATTTGTTTTTTCGAAGCTTAAATAACGGCAACACTTCCAAAAGAAGACACCCAAACTGCTCAAATAAGTTCTATACAGTCTGTATTAAACTATGAAACTATGAATACCACTCACGAAATCTCCAACTTCCCTACATCGTAGCTACACAAAGTGTTCCTTAATTATAGCTTATTTTATAGTCTTTGGACATTTTTTTTCCAATAAATTCTTCCTCCCGTGAAGTGTTTCTTAAAAAAAAAAAAAAAAAAAAAAAAAAAAAAAAGAGGTTTTTTTTTTAATATTTATTTTTTTTTTTTTTTTTTTAAAAAAAAAAAAAAAAAAATTTTTTTTTTTTTTTTTTTAAAAAAAAAAAAAAAAAAATAAATATTAAAAAAAAAACCTCTTTTTTTTTTTTTTTTTTTAAAAAAAAAAAAAAAAAAATAAATATTAAAAAAAAAACCTCTTTTTTTTTTTTTTTTTTTAAAAAAAAAAAAAAAAAAAAAAAAAGAACAAGAAGTTGTTATTTGTATTTGGATTAATTGGGATATCCCAATTCCCACATAGGTGTTTGCCATCCAATAGGGCCCATATCAGGAGGCCCACCGCATGTCTAGTTCTGAGTCCACGTTAAGACCGCCAAAATAACACACAGACGCACAAGGCAAAACAATTCAATGTTGGAAAATTATAAAAGAAAATAATATAGTTTTGTTTTGCTTTGCTTTAGAGTTAAATAGTTCGTCAAAAGTCACTTCTATTTATTTTATTTTATTTATTTTTATTGACTTGTATGTGCACACAACAATTGTACCAAACAAATAGGCTCAGACAACCTTTCTTATATTCCCTTGTAAATATTTGTCTTGGGAAACTGGAATATTTTCAGATTCCAACCATTTGCTATTGTGGTTGTAATTGGTTAAAAGATCAATTACATCAGTTTTAACCCAAGTGGGCATGCCAAGAAATAATCCATTACCAAGAAGCAGCCAAGTTCTAAGAAGATCATCACTAATGAAATTTTTGTGGCTACACAAAAACAAGAAAATCTTCTGTATAATAATAATTACGTGAAACAAAAGCCACTATAATTTCCGAGTCAATTAAAAACATAAACAAAGGAAAAAAAAAAAAAAAAAAAAAAAGAGAGAGAAAAACCTAAAGGGCAAGACTATTATATTATGTTTCAACTTTTACCTGGCCAACTTTCTACTCATCTGAGCACTTGATCTCTTGATGGACTCAATCCTTTGAAGCCTGATTTGCTCTCTGAATTTCGCTATGAACTCATCAGCCTTCTTGTCCACATCAGGCCCTCCATCTCCGACACTACTTGAACCACTTTCATCATTTCTTTTCGCGATTTCTCCTTTGAAATTCTGCGAAAAACTCGGTCCAATCTCATCATCTTCGCTTTCGGTCTCTTCCTGATCGGACTCCACAACCACCTTCTCCTCCAAATCCTCCTCTTCTTCTTCTTCTTTCTCGAAACACGTTTGATCGAATCCCGCCTTCTTTTTCGCTTCTTTCACGGAAGAAATCGGTTTCGTCGACGACGAAGATTGATAAAAAGACGGCGGTGGAGGCGGCGGCGGAGGTGTGGGCGGTGGAGGCGGCGGCGGAGGTGTGGGCGGTGGATTAGCCTTGTTGCAAAAACTCTTCTTCTTCACCATGTCTTCTGCAATTTTAGCTTGAGACTCTAGTGACAAAGAAGACGGCGAAGGGGACGGTTTCTTCGCTGACGGAGAAGGTGACAGCTTCGGCGAATTTGCCGAATCGGAACGTGAAAAACGAGAGGATTGAGACCTCAGAACCCGAGATTCGACCCGATATAATTCGGGTTCCTCCATTGATGGGAAAACAGCACGACTTTCCAAGCTTTCTTCTTCTTTCGTTTCCAATCTTCCCGATCTCGATCGCCATGGAATCGGCGAAGGAAGGACAACGCTTTCCTTCTTCACCTTCTCCTCCTCCGTTAGTTCTTCTCGATCCAAAGCTCCAAATTCTCCATTGTGACTCGAGAATCTTCTAGAATTAGACCGAGAAAGGGAGTCAGAAACGGAGCTTGTCTCCTTCAAGCTCCGAACGGGCAAAAGCAATGGCTTCTCAACACTTTTCGAGACAATTTTTTTACTCTCTTGAGCCACAACAACAACAGGCTCGTTCCTAAAGTATTGGCTACTCCATGTTTGGACCTTGTTTTCGTCGGAGACAGAAGGGTTTTCGGAGTCGTCGTCGAAAACCGAAGAGACCTGAAGATACCGCGAGACATAGTTCTGTGCATTGTCGAACTTGTATTCGTTTTTGCTGTCGTCGTCGTTGTCGTTTTTGCGGCTGAAGAGGCCGTACGAGATGGCTATGCCGACTAAGAGGAGGTGGAGAAGCTCCCAGCTTCTGGTTAGCAATGTCTGGTTGACGAAATCCGGTGCTTGGGAAGGGAAAAGTGGGAGAATTATCAAGAATAGAGAAACCACAAGGGCTTTGTAGAGAAAATTGTAGTGGAACTTTGTTGGGTTGTCTTGGTTTCTTTGGTCTGAAAATGGGTGCTTTTGTTTGGGTTTGGTGTCGGAGTCTATGGCTGCCATTGATGAAGATGATGAGAATTTTATTGTGTTTTTTAATTTTTTTTTAATGGAGTTTGTGAAGTAGATGAAGAAGAAGGAAAGAAGACTTAGGGTTAAGGAAAAGTTGAGAGAGGAGAGGAAAGTTTTGGGAAGGTATGAGAGCAAATTACATGCTTTTCTTTGCTTTGGTTTGCTTTTTTGAAGGTTCTGTTTTTCTTTCTCCCATTGACATATATAGCCTCTTTATCTTTTCTGATTCTCAATTTGGTTGAAGGGCAACTGTTTTGTTTAACTACTAGGGATTAAACACCTATAGTATGTTGTGGTCAGTGACCATTAGAGGTGGGATGTGACTTGGATTCTGGGTGATAAATTAACTCTGCGTTTGGTTGGTGAATTCGTGTTATGATTCAAATTATGGTTCATGATTCGTTACAGTATTTTCTCTCATAAAAAACACACGTAAACTGAGAATAATTCTAAAACATAATTCTGAATCTATGAACTAAACGTCCACTAAATTTATAGTATGCATATGTCTTAAGACTATATCACAAATTCTAACATGATAAAATATAGTTATTTAAAATATATGTTTAAAGCCACGGCAAGTGCGCATCTATTTTTTACTTTGAGGTTTATTGTCATAAGCACTCTATCATAAGATTTTCCAACCAATTAAAATTCGTATTCAACCCATTTCTTCGAAAATCATAAATTGTCAAATGTTTTATGGCTTGGCATTCATTTTTTCCTCTTTCATTTTAAACTTTAGCATGAGTTTCTTTATTTCTTTCTTCTGTTTAATAACTGACTTCATGTAGTAATGTATGGCTTCAAGGATTTGAATATAAAGTTTGGACAGAAATTCAAATTTGTTTAAATTTTTATGAGAGAAAATATTGTAAAAAAAAAAAAGTTTGAATCTAACACCTTTTTATTCGAACTTATAAACATACAAAAACTTAATGACAAGGATGATTCTTTGGTAGGATTTTCAATTAGATTCGTCAGGTTTATACTATTTGATTTTAATTTTTATCGCCATTTTGATGCAATGATCTAACATTTAGAAATGCACAATACAGACAGGTGTATCTAAGTGAAAAAGAGTACCAATTCCACGATAGTTAGTGTGGATAATAATGGGTGCGTTTAGAATTAGTTTTAAAATGATTTTATTTTCAATAAAAAGTAAAAATGATATTGTTATTTTGAGAATCATTCTGGGACCGATTCTGAAATTGCGTTTGGTTGGTTTTTTAAGAGATTGTTTTGAGTATAATAAAAAAGTGAAATTGTATTTATTAATTAATATATTATAATATTGTTGATAACTACTAAAAAAAATGAAATCAGAAAAGTGAAAACAATTTTCAACTATTTTCTAATTCCTTCACAAAAATCATTCTCACTGTTTTCATTTTTATTTTCGTTTTCAAAATATTTGTTAAACAAACTTCGTTGCGTTTTCATTTTTTATTTCTCAAAATACGTAAAAATCGTTTTTAAAAAATGGCACGCACAATCATTTTTATCCTCCTCAATAACGTGGCCATCGGTAAATTTTTGGTTTTCATTCAAAACTGACACAGCAAAGTCACATTGTATTGTGCATCGGAGAGAACTGTAATATCATTCCTGAAAATGGAGTTCTGATGAATAATTCGGCAATCATGGACTGAAAGCTCTAAGAGGTATCAACCAATGGAAAAGAAAAATGGAAACTTGTATTGTTTAAGGGGAAAAGAAAAAGAAAAGAATCTTTCTCAAGTGGCAAGGACCGACCAAAGTTTTCACATGCAATATGAATGCTTAAATGGTTAGGATTTTGACAAATTGGCTTTTGCACTCGCAATTGGTACATTTAAATGGTTCTTTTTCCATTTGTCTAGTCAGTAGATAGATAAATGAAGTGGAAAGCAAGAGAGTCTCAAAAGTTAGTAAAAATGTTGCCACTAATCAGTGGTCCTGAAAGATTTAGTACACCTTAGATTAGCATCAAAATCCAATATTTGTTGCAACTGCCAAAAGAAGAACAAGAAAATACAACTATTTTCTTCTGCTAGTAATTGAAACAATTCCTTACAACTTGACAAATAAATATAAAAATAAAAAAATGTTTCAATTGGTTGAGTTTTGGTGATATAACATGAGGAAAGGATCATAGTTGTAAAGCGGAGAATTTTCCAAAAACCATACCCAAGAAAAAAAAAAAAACAAGGGTAAAAGATAGGCTAACCATGGAGAATCTTCTAAAGGGACATTTTGTGAAAGGGAAATCGAGAGGGGCAAATAGGTTGCGTGGAGATGGTCAGGATTCTACTTTTGGACTGCCTACGCTAGCTTTTTTGTGGGTTTTATATTAAAAAACATACAAAAAGAAAAAGAAAATAAGAAGAAAAAAAGAGACAATATTTAAAAAATTTTAGAGGTTGTTCTTTTGTAATGAAACTTAGAAAAAATTTAAACTCGAGTGACAATTTTATTCAAGTTCATGTTCTTTTATAAAATTTGAATTTGAACTCGAGTTTGGGGCTAAACTCGAGTTCAAGTTTTCCCTTTAACTCGAGTTCATAAATTCAAACTCAAATTAATGAACAATATTTTTCTATTATTAAAAATACCATAATTTTTTCGTTTTAATTCTGATTGAGATGAATTTTTTTTTCTATGCATTCACAACGAAAAGACGAATAAAATCCCACTCATATATCCTATTAAAATTTTTCATCACTATTGAGTTTTTATTAAAATACTATCTAAATACAAATTTAAGTTTTGACCCACCCAAACACAAATTCAAAAAGATTCTCAATTTAAATCATAACTCAAATGTGCACATCTAAACACAAACTCAAGTTACAACTCAAACTCAACTCAAAATCATCACTCATGTCACCTTAACTCAAAAATATAAAAGAACATCCCTTAGAGTGTCAGCAACTTTGGTGGGAATTCTTTCCTTTTCTATTTTGCTTCACAATTTCTCTAGTTGATGATATAGTTGAGATGCTTTTAAGGGCCCCGCAGTCTGTTGATATATAACAATTTTCAATTCCTCAGCAAGAAAAAAAAGAAGATATATTCAATTTGGAGCAAATAAGTATTAAAAAAGGAAGAACATCTCCATCATTCATATTGGAACCCAGATATGCGTCATTCTGATTTAAAAAAAATTGTTGACAATAAAGTTCTAGATTTTGATATAATTTTCTAGAATTGGGTTATTTTTTTTTCTTGAAAAAGTTTTTATGTGATGTTGATCCTATTTAATGTTTTGAAATATGTATTATCAGTAGGTCCTTAATGTATAAAACTCCTTAAAAAACAAAAAGAATCGATCTCATTTTTATTCCTTAAATATAGGAAAAATATCATTTTAGTATGTGATATTAAAAACCACCAAGAACTAGTCCGTTATCTATGAAAATTTTCCAAATTAACCCTTTTGTTTGTCTTACTATTAAATCTTCGCTGAAAAAAGCATGAATGGACTAGATACGGCTTAGTAAAGGTTAATTTTGTAGTTTTATATGTTTGGACTCAGTTATTAAGACGGAGGTTATGCTTTTTTCGTGGAGATTTCAGCAACTGGATAACAAAAGGACTAGTTTAGGACACCGTAGTTCAAGGACTCGGTCTAAGACATTTTAAAAGTTAAGAATCAAAATGTGATTAAGTTATAGTTTGAGGACTAAAAAAATAAAATTAGCCAAAAACAAAAGAAGTTTATCGGGGGATTTGTAGCACACTAGTACTCCAATTCGTGAGCACACTTTGACCATCATTTTGTTTATTCTATCTTGTCTCTTTAGGCAAAAAGAGCAATAAACTGAGTTGTAATTGGTGAGGAATGAAGATGCTGAGCACATATCTATACTGCATAATGTTATAGTTGTTATGAAAACTAAGAAAATGTTAAATTAAATTAAGAAGAAAAACTTTAGAGATTAATTTTGTGAATGTATATAAAGTAAAGAGCCTTAGAACTCTATTATAAGAAAAAATTTTAGCACTATTCACGGTTATTATTTACGGTTACTATTTATACAGTAAAATTTTAACATGAACAGTAATTTTGACTAACTTATATAATAACTTTGATTAAGGTTGACAGCTACTATTTATAATAATAGTTATCATATATAACACATATAGAGATATGTGAGAACATTTAGAAAGAAAGAGATTGGTATAAAACTATAAATTAATACAACCACAATGCAAATGTACTTAAGTTGACTTTTGATTCTCATGTTAAGGATATATATATATATATATATATATATATATATATATGTTTTATATGTGGACTTGACTCAGCTAGGAGAAAAGATCAGATTTCATGGGCCTCCTTGTCACACTCTGAGGAGTGTATACTTTTCTTATCAAGAGACTTCACCAGGTAGAAGCAGATTCAGATGGTTTATCAATCAAATATGTGGAATGAAAATCATAGAAAACAAAAAAGAGAGACGTGATTCCTATAAAATGTTAATGTCAAAGGCGTTAGCTTTGCCCAAGTGATAAATATTACAGTCACCTTTTCCTATTTTTACTATTTTACGTCTCGTTTGTTTCGCAGATTCGAGTTTTTAATTCGATTTTAGATATAATATTTTTTGAGAGTTTTTAACTGTAGCAGAAAAAATTAGACGTGACATTTTCTGAGAGCTTTTAATTATAAAAACCTAGAACTGAAGACTCGAATCAGTGAAATGAATAAGGTCTTAGTTTTCTCTTTAGCATTACGAGGATTTTATGGTGGATTATTAACAAAGACCCTAATGGTAAGATTCTATTTCAAATTGTGAGATTTGTGTTTGTATTTATTAATAATTTTATATACATCTTTTTTTTTAATGAGGTTCACACCAGTTGAGTGCTCAATACTTAGTGCGTTTATGTAGTACTTTTCCGTTAAGAAAACTAAGCGCACTAGATTGTATTGGTGAAACCAGCTAAATGTTGAACGAGTTACCTCGTTCACTTTGTGAATTCAAATTTTCAATTCGAGTTGAGATGTGACATTTTTTTAGAGTTTTTTTCTGTAACAAAAAAAGTTAAATGTGACATTTTTTGAGAATTTTTTACTGTAAAAATCTAAAACTGAAAACTCAAATATGTGAAATAAACGGGTATACCAATATCAATATTAGTGTATATATTTCTTTCATTTAAAACACAAAATACCTATTTCAAAAAAAAAAAAGAAAAAAAGAAAAAAAGAAAAAGTACATGTGGTAGGAAAGCTGCTTAGCACTTAAG